CAGGTCGGGGTCGGAGGCGCTGACTTGGGCAATGGAGGCTCCAGGAGGGTTGTTCTCCGCAATGTGGACCAAATAGAAAGCCTGTTCAAAAACTGGTGCATTGTCGTTGACATCTGCGATGTGCAGAATGATACTAGAACTGGAGGAAAGAGGTGGCTTTCCCCTGTCTGTGGCTGTGATGGTGACATTGTATGAAGGAGTCTTCTCCCGGTCCAGAGACCCATCTGTTACAAGCTTGTAGTAATTATTGGCAGAAGATTCAATTCTGAAAGGAACTTTTTCTTTTATGAGGCATGTGACTTCTCCATTTTCGCCTGAATCTTTGTCATGTGTTTTGAACAGAGCAATCACCATCCCGTGTTCTGCGTCCTCGGTTATGGAATTAGACACTGAAGTGAAAATAACCTCTGGGGCATTGTCATTCTCATCTAAAATTTCTATTATAATTTTACATTCAGTGGCCATGCCTCCACCATCCTTGGCTTCTATGCTCATGGTATAGCTACTACTGATTTCGAAGTCTATGGGACCTTTGGATTTAATTTCCCCATTTTGATGGTCTAGCATAAACATATTTCCAATATCTCTTAGTGTTTTGAAGGAGTAGGTGATCTCTGCATTGATGCCCTCATCCTGATCAATGGCTGTCACCTTTAGCACAGAGGTGCCCAAGGGCAAGTTCTCTGGAAGGCTAACTTTGTACACATCCTGACTGAACACTGGGGGATTATCGTTGGCATCAGTGATCTCAATCCTGATTTGAATGGTGCCACTTCGGACTGGGTCACCCCCATCCAGTGCGGTCAGAACCAGAAGATGGGAGCTCTGGTGTTCCCGGTCCAGGGGCTTCTCCAAAATTAATTCTGGGGCATTCCTGCCTTCAGTCTTATCCTTCACCATCAGAGAGAAATACTCATTATAGCTGAGTTGGTAACTCTGGAGTGAATTAGGTCCTACATCTGCATCTATAGCGGATTCCAGACCAAACCGAGTTCCTAGAATTGCAAGTTCATTGATTTGTAAAACAATGCTATTTTGGGGGAAATACGGTGGATTATCATTTATATCTTCTATCCTCACTGTTATGTGAAAAACATTTAGAGGATTCTCTGCCACGATCTCTAGGGGCACCACACACAGGGTGCTTTGGGAACAGAGCGACTCCCTATCTATTCTGTCACTGACAAGTATGTTGCCATTCTCTGTGTTTATTGTAAAGTATTGCTTCTCTGCACTAACTCTCAGGTTACGGTTCAGTAAATCCTGTACATGCAGCCCCAGGTCTTCAGCAAGATTCCCTACTACTGAGCCCCTGGTCATTTCTTCAGGAATAGAGTAACGGATCTGCTCAGAGAGCCCCCCACAGAACAAAGGCAGCAGGAAGGGAAAGAGTACTTGCCGCTGCCCGGTAAGGCTCCTCTGCTTCGCCCTAGTACCCATCCTTTCTTCGCTGCTGCAGCTTCAGGTGTTATGAGAAGATGCTTTACAAATTGTGTTTTAAATATTTACTGCTAATGCGTAGAAAACTCAACGCTGTTTCAAGGTATCCCATTCCGTATTCCAGAATCATGTGCTGAGAAGAGAGCCCGTATCTGGGCTTTATCTCCTTTCAGAATCACTTCCGTGACTGCGCAGAAAGTCACTTAGGTAGACGATGGACTCCAGCTCTTCTAGCGAGCGCATTGGCCAACAGCGGCGCTCGGAGTTTACTTAGAAAACTGCAGCTATTCTGACAGATTTGTTGGACTGACGTATAGGGAATGAGGCAATAAACAAGTTTTGGATGTGTCTATTTTCTAGTGTTTACTACCAAAGGAAGTTCTTTAGAGATCTGATTCCATAGAAGAGTCATTAACCCAGAATGAGAAAAGTTTGTCTTTTTCTAATGAGAGGCAGTGCACCTACTGAAGGAACAAAGCAAACTTCTCTCCAGACTTAGAACAAAGACCACATGGTAAAGTAGCCTCACCAAGTGATATGGGGAAATTTTTACAGCCATGAAATAATAGCCAGTATTATCTTCAATCTTATGTGCAGATAACTTTCCTTCTCCTTTTTCCAGAGCAAACTGGGGGAGAGCTCAGATGCATACTCAGGATAAAGATGACCAATGGCATATAGTCTTCCTTGCTACTTATGAAAGAGATTTATGGGATACCTGGTGGCTCAGTCAGTTAAGCAGCGGCCTTTGGCTTAGGCCCCGATCCCAGGGTCTTGGGAACTAGTCCCACATCGGGCTCCTAGCTCAGTGGGGGAGCCTGCTTCTCCCTATGACTGCCACTTCCCTTGCTTGTGCGCGCGCTCTCTCTCTGACATAAAATCTTTTTTAAAAAGATCAGTTCTCAGTCTTTTGTCTAAGATCAAGTAAAATCTCTTAAAGATATTTATGAAATTTATGAAAGATTTATGAAAAGGATTATCAACTATTGTACACTTTCACCACAAACAATACCCTAGTAGGTTACCATAGGAATTTAATGACATGCAAAAATGTGAGGGTGTTTTATTTTTATCCTTCTCTCTCTTTTTAAAAGATTTTATTTATTTGACAGACACAGAGAGAAGTAACACAAGCAAGGGGAGTGGGAGAGGGAAAAGCAGGCTTCCTGCTGAACAGAGAGTTGGATGTGGGGCTCAATTCCAGGACTCTGGGATCATGACCTGAGCCAAAGGCAGATGTTTAACGACTGAGCCACCCAGGTGCCCCTATCCTTCTCTTTAACTGGACCACATGTTGTACCATAACAGAACTTTATCACTACCTCTGAGTCAAAAATAACTACCTGAACCTCAAGTTTCAGAGCTAATCTTTCGGGGTGCCTGGGTGGCTCAGTGGGTTAAAGCCTCTGCCTTCAGCTCAGGCCATGATCCCAGGGTCCTGGGATGGAGCCCCACATCAGGCTCTCTGCTCAGCAGGGAGCCTGCTTCCCCACACATCCCACCCCCCACCCCGCCTACTTGTGATCTCTGTCTGTCAAAGAATAAATAAATAAAATCTTTTTTTAAAAAAGTTAATCTTTCAGTTTTTGTTCTTCAAGATTTTGGTTGCCAGCTAAATGTTCAGACAATGTTTTAAATATATATATATATCTAATACATATAATACATAAAATATATATTATGATATATAAGATATAATATAAATATATATATATATATATATATATATACAAATATATACGGAACGACCTCCTTCTCCCAGCAATACCTCATATCCTTTTTATTCATATAATTTCAATTCAAGTAAAATGCCTTTTTTTCTGTTTGGAATTCCATAGGCATAAAATTTATCCCTACATGGTCAAGACACTCTGACATTTTTCTTGACATGGGACAAATTTAGGCACCTGTTGCAGGATTTCCCTTTCCTACAGTTGAAATTCTTTTTGCCCAAACATCAGACACTCAATTATAGCTAAATATATTAAGGTCAGTACCTAAATGAGAGAGAAAAACTTGAAGGAACCTGAATATGTAAACAATCTGAGCCAAACATTTCAAAGACGTATGAAGAGTGCTAAGCTGAACTGATTGTGGAGATGACTCCTGTGATCAAATATCCTCAAAAAGTCTCCTTTCCTCAGTTGCCTTTCTTTGACATTGTTTCAGATAACATAGAGGTCATTAGGTAACTACCAGGGCTTCAATAACAAGTTGGTTCTGAATATAAGGATTGAATATACTTACATATGATATGAAATGAATTTTCAAGGGAAATAAAGGAATCCATGGCTCATGGGCATATTGAAAAAAAAACACAACAACAAAAAGGAAATAACAAATAGTAATACCAGCTAAATCAGTCTCATAAGGTCCAAATAACTACTGCATCTCTTATATTTACAAACTGGTCCACATCAGTAAATCTGAAAAATATAAGCATGTTTAGCCAATTTGTAAGTAACTTTGAGAAGCACTGGATCAAAATTATTTCTGCAGATGAAATGACCACATCAAAAAATCTCGAACACACACACACACTAAAGTGCAAGCAAAAGAATAAAAGGAAATAATACCCATTCAACAATTTAACTACTCAGAACAATCAAATGACTCCACTGTAGAAACAGATAAGAGGTCTAGAACTTGAGAGGAAAAAAAGTGTACTCTACAATTCCTCTCCCAAGAGATTCTAGTAGTAAAAAGGCAGTCAATATATCTGTTTTGGTAGTAAAAATAAAAGAGGGAAACTTGAAATAATTAACATAATTTAAACATATCACCACCCATAAAAGACCAAAATAGAATTGTTTCATGCTTAGAGAAAAGCTTACATTTGTAAACTCCTACATGTAAATGTGTGTATATGTGTGTATAGATAAGGAAAAGAGCTACAGAGTGTATCCCACTGACCAAGAGGGTCAAATCTGAACATTAGAAATAAAGCAATAATGGTAGAATATAATTATAAATTAGGGGAGGCAATGTGAAGTTGTAATAGAGAAATAAAAACTGTGAATCATAATTTGAATCCTAACCAGTTTACATTGACAGTCACAGACACTGATGATAGAAAAATATTACTAAAATTTAACTTATTATAAAGCAAGCCATAATAGCTGAACTAGACCTTTAGAATCAAAAGAGAATATGCCAGGGGGAGAGAAAAGAAAACTTTCTTGAAAAATGATGTTAATTTTTTGAAAGATAAAGTACAGGAACTCACATGTATTGCTCTAAACATATACACAATGAATATGTCCCCCTCCAAAAAAGTATTGATTTTGGTTTTTGGTTTTGTTTTGAAAAAGCCACTTAAAAGACTTGTGCAGAGATACTAGCAACTCGGAGGCAGGTAATAAATCTCACCTGATTACTCGTGGAGTCAAGATTGCCTAAACCAGCAGCTGAATCTTCAGTTATCAAGAGTGGCTCGCTTTTCCCACAGCTCTCCTGGCTGATGAGCGTGTCCGCATAGTT